TTATCCTAACGATATGAGGCGGTCTTTGTGGAAAAAAAGCTTGTTTAGTGGACTAACTTTGCACTTGAAGTATGCCCATTCACTTACATTTTAACAGGTCTGACGCTACTATGCGCCCCGGCTGTATCTAGGCTAACGGCTAACATGCTAACTATTATTTTTATGTCACTAGTCACTTGAAACAAATTTAGGATGATAGGAGACAGGTTGAAATAAACCAAAATTTCCCTTTAACTTCGACCTATTGTCCTTGTTTGTGGACACTTTTTTGTGCCATCTAGAGCACAATACACTAATCCATTTAAAAACAAGATGGCAGCCATCTCTGCGAAGTCAGTCTGCAGCCGAAAAACCTGATCACATTTTATGGTTGAAAGTTGTTTCTTTATGATTTATTTATTATTTATATGACACCAATTTTACCAACAGGAAAAAGCTAAGACACTAATAATTCGGAAGTGCTGGTCTAAAGACTCTGGGACTTTATTATCATTGACAGTGTTTAGTTTTGCATACTTATCAGGTCCTACTGATCCAAAATAGCTTGAGGGAGTTCGGGTCTCAGGAGGTTATACTGAGCCATCTTGCGATGTGATCACTTCAGCCATGATACAGGGGGCAATGGTCGCTTCACTGCTTCCTTCCCCCAACTTCCAGCCCCTTGCTCAGACCACACCCATCTCCAACTTCCACTTCCATTGTGATCTCAACTACAAACCTGTTAAGTTTCTATACTGCATCTTGAGGGGTTCGCAGTGACAAAAATCAGACATACAAACACCTGGTAAGGTTCTCAAAACAGCTTCTGTGATTGATCCTGCGACAATAGCGATCTCCAGGTCCACATTTTACCATGATGACACATACACTGACTCACATGGTGACAAAAAAATACCCGCTGTTGCAATGCTGTCACAGCTGGTAAAAACAATTGGATGATTGGATGACACTATGTTTTTCCTCCCCAAGGTCAGTGCACTTTTAAGGGGAATTCTTCTGCTCCCAATAATGTAGTGAATATGAAAGAATAACACTAGAAAATGTTTCAGTAAATTTGTTTAAAACCACATCCTTGCAATCCCATGGAAAGTTTGATACAGGATATTCCCAAGAAGTAATACTTTCAGAAACAAATGTTTTCAACCCAATACGCATTCTCTCCGCAAAAGGAGTCAAAATGTACAAAAGCTGATTTCA